GGGGGGGGTCGTGCAGTGGGGGAGTGTTGGGGGAAGGGTGGTGCAGTGTCTGCATGGGGGGGGGTGTTGTGCAGTGGGTGTGGGGGGGGGTCATGCCGTGTGTGTGCATGGGGGTTGGGGGGTATCATGTAGTGGGGGATCATGCAGTGGGGTGGTTGTGTGGTGGGTGTGCGTACGTGGGGGGATTGTGCAAAGGGTGTCATGCGGTGTGTGTGGAGGGGGTACTGTGGGGGGGGGTTGTGTGGTGTGTGTGTGTGGGGTATTGTGTGGGGGGTTGTGCATGAGGGTGTGTGGGAAGGTTTCATGCGGTGTGTGTGGAGGGCATATTGTGTGTGTTGTGTGGTGGGGTTGTGCGTGGGAGGGGTGTGCGGGGGTGTCATGTGGTGTGTGGAGGGGCTATTGTGTGTGTGGTGGTGTGTGGTGTGTGGGGGTGTCATGCAGTGTGTGTGTGTGGGGGGGGTCAGTTCCTGGTGCCCACGTCCCATAAGCCAGCCCAACCAGGCCCAGCAGGGACAGCGCCCGTGACCCCAGGATGGGGTGGGGTAGGGGGCCAAGGATCCCATTTTAGCCTAGACTCAGGGCAACAGTTAGAGGGTGCGGCCGGGGGGCAGGGCAGGGGTAGGGTTAGGGTTAGGGTTAGAGTTGAGAAACTGAAGCGGGCAGAGAGGTCGGAGAGGAGCTGGGTATCTGGGAGAACCTGCTCCCCTTCCAGCGCTGGAGAGAGAACCCAGGAGTCCTGGCCCCTAGCTCCCCCACTGAAGCGCTGTGAGCCCCTTGGCTGGGCCATGCTGGGCTGGCACAATCCCAGCTGGGGCCCGTGCAGCAAAAGGCAGCCCTGAGGGGCAGGTGGGTAGCGCTTGGCACACCCATAGGAGGGGCCTGAGGCCTCCCCCCAGCCCCAGCAGCTTCACTGACAGCCCCACACCCCTGCACCAGTCGCCCTCTGCCCTTTGACTGAGGAAACCCTCCGGGTGCTGTGCCGCCCCAGTGCGGAGCCCCGGGACCAGCGGTGCCCCGCGGGCCAGGGCATCCCCAGGGACCCTGGCCCTGGAGCTTCCCCCCTTGCTGCCAGGAGGGTGCAGTGCATGGATCTCTGCACTCCCCTCCTGATACCCCCCAGCTCTGCTCCCCTCTGCACCCCACAGCCCTGCTCCTCTATGCCCCCTCCTATTGCCCCCCCAGCTCTGTTCCCCTCTGCACCCCACAGCCCTGCTCCTCTATGCCCCCCTCCTGGCATCCCCCAGTCCTGCTCCCCTCTGCACCCCCTCCCCTCCTCCTCTGTGCCCCCTCCTATCACCCCCAGCCCTGCTCCCCTCTGTACCTCGCAGCTCTGCTCCTCTGTGCTAGCCAGAGAGCCGGCAGTTCCATCCCACCCAGGGGTGTCACCCACTAGCTGGCACCCAGGGGACCAGTGTTTGGCCAGAAAACACCGAGGACACAAACTTGACCCACGTCCATCGCCTCAGGCCAATGTCAGGCTAGAGGGATCTCGCCAGGCCCCCACATCCAGCTTCCCCCCACCCCTGGAAACGTCTGGATTGTGTCCCACAAACCCTCCAGCGGCAGCGTCTCACCCCAGGACGGGGGGAGACCAAAGCCAGGAGTTCCCCAGAAGGGCAAAGGCCCAGGGGTCAAGCAGGGCTAACGAACAGCATTGCGGGGAGAACGGCCCTCCCAAATGCCGGCCTAGCGTGCTAGGCCCACGGCCAGCCGAGGTGGAGCAGTGGGAGGAAGGCAACATGGAGGCGAGTCCAAGAACCGCACACGCCCTCGGGGCCGGAAGCGTCAGCTCTGGTGCTTGTACAGCGCCTAGCGCGATGGGGGGGGGGCTTCTCCACACCCGGCGCTCCAAGGCGCTACCATAACGCACCTCCCCACGCCAAGCAGGCTGTGCCCACCTCCGGGCCGCTCCGAGGCAGCGAGCGCATCTCGCCCCCGCCCAGCCAGGCCTGCGGTACCACAAAGCGAAGCCACTTGTATGCGGAGGGGGGGCCTGACTCGGCCGTGTTTCCCCCGCCCTGCTCCTTGCGGATCCCCGTCACATACACGCACGCCTGGGCGAGTCTCAGCAGAAGTTCTCTGTGCGGTAACAAAGCCAGCGCCTGGCACCCAGCGACGCTGCCCGCCGGGTGCAGATCCAGCCGGGGTGGGGCCAGCTGGTTCAGTGCTGGGCATAGGGGACACTCCGGCTAGAGCATTGGGAGCGGCCCAGCCCAGGAGGCTACGTACAGGTTTAGGGCCACAGGCTCCAGGGCCAGCCCCTCCATCACCTTCCCCACGTGAAACCCCCCCACCCCCAAATCCCAACCAGCTCAGCGAACAGGGTGAGGCATGGGGCAGTGCGGCCTGGGTGACAGAGCCGGGGGGTGGGCAGGTGGCAGGCAGGGGAGAGAAGGCTGGTGACGTGGGACGAAGGTTTGATGGTGCAGCTCACAGCCGGGAGGCAAGAGGCCAGGCCTCTTGGTGCCACTCAAGCTGGGGGGGCCATACAAGATGGAAGCCATGGGATAGGGTGAGGGTTGCTGAGGGACGAGGCCTGCTGGTGCCGCTCACCATGGAGACAACGCCCAGCCTGGCCGCCCTTGAGCACTGGCCTGCTGGGAGGTTGAGTGAGGAGGTCACGGGTGGCAGTGGAAGGGGACCCAAGGGGGCAGCTGCTGCCAGTTTCCCTGGCACCCCCCACCCCTGCCCACCACGCTCCCAAACCCAAGCAGCAGCAGGCGGTCTTATATAGAATATAGATATATTTATGGATATACAAATTTCATACAGTACCAGGATGGATGGATGGACAGACAGACAGACACACGCAGAGCGCTACGTTAAAAAAAACCCAACAATAATAATATACAGGGACGACGACGACAGAAACTTCTTTAAAAAAAAAAAAAAAAAAAGAATATCGCGGGGAAAAAATTGTGTGCCCCCCCAAAAAAAAAAAAAAAAATAGGAAAATGGTGAAAAATAATAATAATAGTGAGATGCACTAGTACCTGGTGAGAGGGTGGGACAGGAGGCAGTGCCCCAAGATTCAAGTGTCCAGTCTGGGTCCCTCCACAGATAACCATGGTGCACGGGTGGAGGGGGAAGGAAAGGAACCATTGGTGCCACCCCTCTGGCTTGCCAGACAGAGCTGACCCCCCCCCGGTTTGTTCGTCTTGGACAGCCAAAGAAATCCAGAAGGCTCATGGGACGCTAGGGTGCCGGAGGAGCCCACGGGTGCCACGGTGGGGACAACTTCGAGGAGTCACAACGGAAGCTCTGGATTTTGAGGATGAGGAACCGGGGAAGAGGAGAGGACGAGAGGGGAGCTGGTCCCAGAAGATGACGAAGACTGAAAAACCACAAAGAGCAGCTTGTTCTGAGGTGGGTCCAAGAGAAGCCAGCTGCTCCAAGGGGTGGGAACCCATCCCGGTGTGGATCTAGAACCTGGAAGCTCCATGAAGCTGGGGTCCATTCAGATGATCTAGAACCCTGGAAGCTCCATGGGGTGGGAACCCATTCTGATGTGGTTCCAGTTGCACTGTCGAGGATCCAGTTCCAGTGTGGCTCTAGAACCTGGTGGTTTCCTTGGGGAGGATCCCATATTGCCATGGATCTAGAATCTGGCACTCCATGGGGCAGGGATCCCATTCTGATGTGTATCTAGAACCCAACAGCTTCATGGTGGCAGACAGATCCCACTCCAGCGTGGATCCAGAACCCAGTTACTCCATGGAGCAGAAATCCCCGTCTGGCACAGATCTAGAACCGGATTACTCCATCAGGCTGGGATCTGATCTGGTGTGGGTCTGGGACACGGGGGTGCCATTCTGCTGCAGATCTAGAACCTGGTTGCTCCACAGGGGGAGGGATCCTGTCCTGTGGTAGATCTGGAACCCAGGCATCCTGTGTGGAGAGGACCCCGTACCAACACGGCTCTCCAGTAGCTCTGTAGTGTGATTTCGGGGAGTCCAAAGCCTTCGACCAGTCCAACGTACCCTCTCTAACAAACCCCACCAGGTTGGCGGGAAACGCGGCCTCCGCTGGCCAAGGCAGGAGCGGCCACCGCTCCGACGTAGTGAAGGTTTACAAAAGTTAAATGCACTTTATTTTTTAATATAAAAGGTTCAGCTCGTGGGGTGTTTATCCTCCTGCTGGAAGAGCGATTCAAAAAACAGTGAGACCATTAAATACTGGTGGGGCGAGGTGCCCCGGGGTGACGGTCCCAGGCACGCTGGAATCACGCAGCAGGATTTGCTCCTTCTAAAAATATATAATTTTTATATATAGATAAAAATTCTTTCACGTAAAAAATAAGAAGTCAGGTCAGCTGGTTTGTAGTGTCTAGGAGTGGAAGCGGGGAAACCATGAAATTCAGGGGGAGCAATTCGGGATGACTTTGGATTTCGTTCTTCACATTCACACGCAGCCCCATCGGTGCCACTCCGGCAGCCTAACCAGGGCAGAAGTGACCCCGATAATTCCTCCCCATGCACATGGGGAGCTGACGTAAGGGTTCTTATCCCTGCTCCTAGCATAGAGGGCGGATTGGGGGTGTGGCTATTTGCTGCCCCCCAGAGCCCACAAGGGGTGTGGCTGGGGCAGACTATGGGGAACCCCAGGGCAGGACAGGGGAGCATGGACCCAGGCCCCAGAATTTTCCTCCACCCGAAAACAAAGTCAGTGGTTCCCGCAGCGACCGACGGGACCTGGGGTCCGATCAGCAGCTGCCCCAGAAACCCTGCTCCCTTAGCACCAAGACTCCCCCTGCGCCGTGCGGCTCCCACACCCTGCTCTGGGAAGACGCTTAGTGTTTCTAGGAAAGGGGGGGCAGGAGCAGGGGAGACCCCGCAGCCCACGAATGCCTGCTTTTCTCCTGCCCGCTCTAAGCCACAACAGCTGACACCCCCTTCCTGGGGGCTAGGAGCTTGCCTGGCCAGAGCCGGATTCCCCCCCCCCTCCCCAGTTTGGAATTGTAGTGTTTGGTCATGGCAGCCCACAGATGCAGCCACGGATCCGGCACCACCCAATTGCCCAGAGCCTTTCAGGCGCCCGCAGCGCCAGGGCCCCCTGGCAGTGGGATCCGGGGCGAGGGCTCGGAGCTCTACAGATGTCTGAGAGTTTGGATCTGACGCGCCGGGGGCAGCGAAGGCACGGAGGGGCCGAGACCCCCCCCTAGGAGGTGGCGCCCCGGTCCCGTCTCGCGCCCGCCTGCCGAGCCTCTTACAAGTCCAGGGGCTCCTCCACCGGCACCGACTGCAGCTGGGTCAGCACCTTCTCATCCGAGTCGAGGCCTTCGGGATCCAGGGGGTCGCTGGCTGAGCTGCCCAACAGCAGCCCCTCGCCCTCAGGCAGCAGTAGGCCACTCGGCTCCGTGCCGTCCAGCACCTCCACCGCCCCCTTCTCCATCTCGAAGAGCCCCTCGGTGCCAGCCGCTTGCATCTCCATGCCCGCCGAGCCGGGCCACGCTGCCGGCTGAGGCAGCGGGGACAGCACCAGGCCCTCCTGGGGGAAGTTCGAGAGGACGCCAGGCTGACGGCCGGCTACACCGTCCCCGAAAGCCAAGGCCGGCTGGCCCGCCCCGGCGCCCTCGGAGTTCACGGGCCCTGGGATGGGGGCGCTGGTGCATGTTAGAGGCGCCGTTTCTTGCTTGATGGGCAGGGCCAGGCTGCCGGCGGGAGCGGAGAGCACCGGGGACATGAGCATGGTGGCCGGGAAGGTGGCGGTCAGGATGAGCTTGCCCTGCTGGAGTGTCATGCCGGTGAGGATGGTGCCGCCACCTGGCACTGGGTTCGTCAGGAGGAAGTTCCCTGCAGAGGGGAGAAGAGGGGTGGGGGGAAAACCCACAGGCCTCAGATAGGTGGGTGTACAGCTGGGGAGACTGAGGGGAACGGAGCGGAAAGGACTAGCCCATGGTCACCCAGCAAGTCATCAGCGGAGGTGGCAATAGAACCCAGGAGTCCTGGCTCCCCCCGCCCCCCCCCGCTCTAACCACTAGACCCCACTCTCCTCCCAGAACTGGGAACAGAACCCAGGAGTCCTGACTCGAGTAGGAGGAACTGGGAGCCAGGACTCCTGGGTTCTATTCCCACTTCTGCTACCGACCTGGTGGGGGACGTGGGACAGCCCCTCCCGCTCTCCGGGTCTCAGGCTAGAAGGGGCCAGCCTGACCATCCCCTGAGCCCCCGTCAGCGCCCCCCCCCGCCAGCGCCCCCCCCCCCCACACAGCCAGTCCTGCACCCGGACCCTGGGAGAGACATGGGGTCTTGGTGGGAAGACTCGGGGACTCCCCCAACCCCCTGAGACCTCGTCCCAGGGTTCAGCGCCCTTCCCCCCTACCCCCAAACACCGACAGCCCCAGGCCTCCCTCTGCTTCCTCGGTGCTCCAAAATAATCTCTCCAGGGGCCTGGGTCCATGACCCGCCCCCCGCTTCTCTGGGATACATGGAACAGTCCCCGCCCCCCGCCGCCTCTCAGGTCCTTCCTCTAGATCTTCTCTGGCCTCCACCCGCACCCCGCACCTCTGGGCCAGGGGCCCCAGCGCACACAGCCCCCAAATCCACCCGGCCAGGGCACAGGCCCCGATCCTCCCCCAGTCATTTCGGCTGCGCTCCCTCGGCCAGGCCGAACGCAGCCAGCTCCTCCCTCCCGCCCCCGGCGCGGCACCCGTGGCAGTACCTGGCGCGCCGGCGGGCAGCTGCAGCGTGGTCACACCCATGTTGGCGTTGATGAGGTGCACGTTGCTCTGCCCCACGGTCCCGCTGGCCGCCGGCGGAGCCCCCACCTTGAGCGGGGCGGCGCTGGCTAGGATCTGGATCGGCCCCACCCCCTGCTGCAGCGTCACCACCTGCGACGTGGGCACCACTTGCGGGAGCGAGATGAGCTGGGAGCCCTGGGGCACCGACACCAGCTGCGGGGCGGGGGCCCCCTGGGGCACCGAGTAGACCTGGGTGGGTGAGAGCGGCACCATCTGGGGAGGGGACAGCACCGGGGTGCCTGGGGCCGGCTGGGACAGGGGCACTACCTGGGAGGGGGGTGAGACCTGGGAGATGGGGATCAGGGGCGGGGCGGGGACGTGGACCACGGCGGGCACCGGGGCGACCTGAGCTGGCCCCGGGATGGGCGAGGTGAAGGACAGCAGGGGAGAGCCCTGGAGGAGCGAGGCGGCAGCCGGGGGAGGCGACGTCACGGGCAGGGCCTGGCCGGGCTGAGAACCGGGCACCACTTGGGAGAGGGGGACAATCTGGGAGCCGGAGACCACCGGCTGGGGGAGCGCCGGGGCCGGGCAGGGGGCTTCCTCGCCCGACGGCACCACCTGGGGCACTGAGCCGGCCGGAGTGGGAAGCAGCGCCCCCTTCGGGTCGGACGCGGCCGGGGCCAGGGGAAGGAGCGTGGGCACCTCGGACAGGGCCCTGACGGCCTGGCTCTCCTCCGTCTTCACCTCCACGGCGCCCGGGCCAAACACCATGGAGGGCAGCGACTCCCCGGCTTCCGCCTTGATGTCAGGCCTGGCCGAGGAGGCCGGCGGCGACTCCAGGCAGGCGCCAGGCGGGGTCTTGGCGGCGCCGTTGAGGAGCACGGGCGGGGTGGACGCCACGGGGCTCAGGGTGATGGTCTGGCTGTCGCCCAGCGCCAGCCCGTTGATGAGCACGCCGCCCGACGCCTGGAGCACGGAGCCGCCGTTCAGCAGCATGGCCTGCGGGCCGGCCGTGGTGATGAAGTTGCCGTTGAGCAGGATGGACGAGGCCCCGGAGCAGGCCCCGGCGGGTGCCGGCAAGAAGAGGTTCCCGGAGGCGACGGCCCCGTCCGGCACGGCGGGCGTCCCCACGGCCAGCTCAGTCTCCTCTGGCCCCCGGCTCAACTCGTCCTCTGTGCTGGGGTTCCCGTCCGACTCGCTGCGGGGAGAGAGGGACTGTCAGGGGCGGGGGGTTAGCCAGAACTGTCGCACCCCCCCTCTAGCTACTGCCTCCACCATAAAGGGGGCTGATATCCAGAGAACAATGAGAGACAGCATGGCCCAGTGGGTAGAGCAGCCAACTGGGCCTTCAGAGACCTGAGTTCTAATCCCAGCTCCGGCTTGCGAGGCGAGTCCCTTCCTCGCCCCGTGCCTCAGTTTCCCCTTTGTACAGTCAGACTGCCGGCTCCTAGGGGCAGGGCCTGCCTCTCACTCTGGGGCTGGGCAGTGCCTGCGCTGGGCCAGGATCTTTTGGGCCAGTGAGTTTAACAGCACTGAAAGCTCCTGACCCTCCCGACTGCTCAGTTACCTCGTGACACAAACCTTCCTGGGGTCCCCAGGCTGCACCACAGGTAGGAAAGTTCCCCAGGGAACCAAGAGTTCCCCCTGCCCCAGGCAGAGTCCCAGCAGGACTGATTCCAGCCAGAGGGGGGCCCTCCGAGCCCACATGGCCAGAGCCGGAGACTCCACTAGGTCGGGTGGTGCTGTATAACACAGGCCATGAACTAGATTCCCAGCTGGGGTCAATCAGCGTCGCTCCCTTGGAGTCTCTGGGGCTGTGCCGATCTCCCCCAGCCGAGGCTCTGGCCCCACAGATCTAGGGAAGGCAGCAGAGACCCAGCGCTAAATTCGTTGTGGGGTCTCAGTCACCCCCCGCACCTCCCGGTCGGGCATCGGCCTCCCCGCCACGCGGCAGGGTACAAGGAGCTGCGACACAGAGATCCGGCCGTCCCAGGCCACGTCTCCAGCCCCGCGGGACCCAGCTGCCCCAGGCCGCACTCACTGGCCCCCGGGGGCAGGACTCCAGCACCCGGCTGGAAGCTAAAATCACCAGGATGCCAGAGTGCTGGGGGTGGAGGAAGAGGGTCTCACATTTCACAACAAAGGGAGAGAGTTGGGAACAGCCCACCCCCACCATGGGGGGAGGTGGAAGGTCACCAAGTCAAGACACACACACCCCCTTCTTGTATTGAGGGTGTATCAGGGAGGGGCTGCAAACCCTGTCCCCCACCACCATGCTTCCCTCGGGAGCTGTGTGGGGAGGGGCCACTTCTCTTGCTATGGGTCCAAGCACTGTGGGGGATGGGTTGGGGCATATGATTTGGGAATACACCTTGCTCTCATGGGGGGAGTCACAGCATTGTGGGGGGATGGTTTTGGGTGCACAAGATTTTGGGGTTCATCTAGCTTTCTCTGGGGGCTCCCAGCACTGGCTCCTGACCCTGTAGGAGGAGAAGTTGGGGGGGAGTCTCTCTATGAATATGTGGGGGGCTGCTGGCCTGTCCCGGGGGAGAGATGGGAGGGGCGCATGGGGTTTTGGGGTGCACCCTCCCAGCTCCTCTCCTGCCCATGGGTGAGACTTGGGGAGGGAAGCAGTGCCTCTTGCTGAGTGGTCTCAGTCCAGCGCACCCCACAATGGGGGGGTCTGCCTGGGTGATTTGGAGGTGCTGTGTCTATTACTGGGTGCCCTCCCGCTGGAGGGGTTGTGTTGTTTTCGAGGGTCGCTCCAGAATCCTGGGGCTCCCCATCCCCTCTCACCAAAAGGGATTCTTCCTTTCCCTGGGGGGACAGCTTCAGAGTTCCTATAGGTTCTTGGGGTCCCCCTTTCCCTGTAGCAGGATGAGATATTGGGGTATCTAGCTGGGGATGCCTGCACGGGGGGGTTCCTCTTGCTGAGGTCCCCTTCACCCTACAAGGGGAAGCCTGCAAGAGGTCAGGGTCCCCCTCCAACCGCCTGTTGGAGGTCCCTGTAGGGGGTGCCTATGGGATCTAAAGAGGGGTGAATAGGATTGAAGGGGGATCCTTCCAAGGGGGAGCTGGATAGGATCTTTGGGGGATGTAGGATCAAGTGGGGGTGCCAACCGGAGAGGGCTGTACAGGATGGGGTGCCTGCAGAGGAGAATCTGGGGGGGGAGGATGTATAATTTCTGGGAGGGGTCCCTCCAGGGGTAGATTGTAGACAATCTGAGGGGTGCAGATAACTGGGCTGTAGAGGAGCAGGAGGATTCCCAGGGGCGTGTACATGATCCAGAGAGGGGGGCCCTGCAGGGGCAGACTGTATCGAATCTGGAGGCCCCCCAGAGGGAAGATGGAAAGGATCTAGGAGTTGTAGGCTGGGGGGGGGGGG